TTTTATGAATTGTGGCAAACAATCGATATTTTATTGGGATTCATGTTTTATTTGTGATTAATGTTTTGCACGAATAATTATAATTTATAATGTTTTCACATTTTTGCTTCAAAATATCACGTAATAAATGGATTTTACCAAACATACTTTCGATTACTATTCAAATTTCGAAACACTCTATAACATAACACTTATTTATTTTTGGATTAAAATAAAATGCCAAAAGCGAAACACATGCCAAACAAAACAGGCCTAAGTGATTCAACATTAGGTTAAATTGGGGTAGAGTTTCAAGAGCCATAAAACTCTTGTTGTTAGTTATTAAAATCAAAAATTTATTAAAATATCTTTAAAAATGATATTTTGGCTTACGTGTCAAAGTGAAACCATTACGCCCATAAATTTGAAGTGGGGCTCAAATCCAATCCGAAATTTAATTGTTTCACATGAACAAATAGGATAAGGATCTTCTCTAGCACAAGAGAGGTCCAGTATAATATTCAATGGTTGAAATTACATCATTACTAGTGAGTTCCATTTATCAATTCAATCTCAAATACTAAATATTGTGTTGGACCTCTCATGAGAAAGAATCTTTATCCGAGCAAATAAGCCTGAATATCATTAATCTGGTTTGAGCATTGGTAGATACGACTAGTAATGAAAAAAATTAAAGATAAATTAACTTTGACATTATTTTAGACAAATTAAAGATAAAGTAACTTTGACATTATTTTAGACAAAATGAATACTCATGGACTCCGACTTTGAAACTTAAGTTTGAAGTCCATTAGAAACGTGTTATTTATGTTTTTCATTTTTGTAGACTTTGCTTATGATTTTATGAAGTTTATTAATTGGATAGTATATTAAATACATGTTGTTCAGTACATATAATGATTATTGTGCTTTCCTTGATAAGATTTGACTAATTTATAATTTGAATAGAGGACTAGACTTTTTAAAGTCCAAACTCCATGATAAAAATCTATGAGTGAAAACAACTAGCATGTCAAAAGCTGTAAAAGAATGCATGTTTGCCTTCTCCTTTACGGTGTGCTCAATTAAGTGCGTAGGAGGGAAAAAAAAAAAAAAGTATTATTAGTTGCAAAAGAAAAGAAAATAAAATTGAAAGATAATAGTATTAATCACTCAATTTGTGTTTCATAAACTACTTGTTTTTGAAGGGTGAATCAGAAGATTATATGAAGGATTGTATAGTCAAAATTTCGTATTAAAATTCATTTACAGCAGACCACATGAATTAGGCAAAATTTTACACACTTTATTAGACCAAATTACATTATTAACTTTGATGGTTTCGTATAAAGTTATTTTATTGTATATTGAATTAATTTTTTTGATTTTTAATATTGAGATCACTTTAATCTTGGCAACGTGATAAACCAAAATTTGTGCTCCTGTCATGAGAGGCCTCAAAATAATATTATTTAATAAAAGAAATAATTATAAGAAAAGATAACAATATCCTTTGTTAAAACATGGTTTAGAAAATATTCTATTAAGAAATACTTCAGATGGAACGTATTCAACGAAATTACATGTGAATTACAATCTGTAATATCAAGTTTTTGTTAACAAATTAAAAAAACTAAATTGTAAGAATATATCCTCTCTCTCTAAGTTTATATACCACGCTCAAATTATAATGAAGTTTCCAGTGCAATTGTCATTTAGAAGTTCAATAAAATATTTATATTGTTCTTGCTAAAATTTACTTTAGAATATTCGTGGAGAATATATTTGTTGCTTTTGGAAAATTTTAAATCACCATTTACTATCACAAGCTTTAGAGAACTCTTAACACAGCATCAACAATATAGTAACACTATCTTTTATTATTATTATTATTTATATTTTATGCACAGAAAGATAAAACAGAAAATTAGTGTTGAGCAAAAAATTATTAGGTTTTTCGTTTTCTTTTTAAAGCTTTCTTCCTTTTGTTTACTCTCATTAACCTTCTAGGTTGTAGTCTTTGGTAAATAAAGGTGGAGTTTATCCATTTCATTATTAATAGCGCAATGAGGCAAATTTATTTGTAAGTTTATTGGGATATACTTCTCCGTCCCATAATAAGTGCACACCTTCTTTATTTGTTTCTTGGGTAAAGTACAGCCACATCCCCTGAGGTTTGACAAAAGGACACTAAGATGAAACTTACCTATTTTTTCGACAAAGACACCCCTAAAGCTTCAAAAATGGACAAAGACACCCCTTTATATGAAAATTGACTAAACTACCATTTGACCGTTTAGGAGACTTTTTTAACTTTACAATTTAATAAATTGGACCAATCTACCCTCATGAATAATTTATGCATACAAAAAAGTAAAGAAAAAAAACTTTATATTGTTCACTTTTTTTTTTTTTTTTTAAATTTTATTTACTTTATAAATGTCCCAATTTCTTAAAAATGTAGACGTCTAAAATGATTTTTTGATTCAATACATATATTTTAAATAAATTATATTTTGTTATTACTTCTTTTTTTTTTCTTTTGTATTTTTAAATTAAGATACTTAATTCTTTCATCTAAAAAAATTAAACCAATATTTTTTCCTTAAAAATAAAAAAAATATGGTACCAATATAACTTTATGCATTTTAAATTATATATCAAATATTATGCATTTCTCAATATAAAAGAAAATAGGTACCAGTATAACTTTATGCATGCCTTTGTCTTTTTTTTTTCCACCCCCTTTGTTTTATTATTTTTTTCCCTTTGTTTTATTATTAATTTTTTTTCCCTTTTATGTTGGGAAATGCATAATATTTGATATATAATTTAAGATGCATAAAGTTATACTGGTACTATATTTTTTATTTTTAAGGAAAAGAGATTGGTTTAATTTTTTTAGATGAAAGAATTAAACATCTTAATTTAAAAATAAAAAAGAAAAAGAAAAGAAGGAATAACAAAATAAAATTTAATTAAAATATATGTATTGGATTAAAAAATCATTTTAGACTTCTACATTTTAAAGAAGTTGGGACATTTATAAAGTAAATAACAAAAAAAAAAAAAAGAAAAAAAAAAGTGAACAATATAAAGTTTTTTCTTTTTTTGTTATCTTTTTTGATGCATAAATTGTTTATGAGGGTCGATTGGTCTAATTTATTAAATTATAAAGTTAAAAAAGTCTCATAAAAGGTCAAAGGGTAATTTGGTCAATTTTTCATGTAAAGGGGTGTATTTGTCCATTTTTGAACCTTCATGGGGTATTTTTGTCCAAAAAACAGATAAGTTTCATCTGAGTATTATTTTACTAAACCTCAGGGGGTGTGGCTGTACTTTACCCTTATTTCTTTTAAATTAGGGGTGAACAAATAATCCTATTTAAAATTAGGGGTGAACAAATAATCAGTGAATCTGCAAATTCGATCCAATCCAATTCGATCTGTGCAGATTAGATCGGATTGCTATACCCACGGATTGGTGATGGATTAAAAAAAATCGAATCCGTAACTCACGGATCGGATCATGAATTGGACTGTAAAAAATTCGATCCGATCCAATCCATGAAATTTATATATATATTTTCAAATAATATATTAGTTAATTTAATTAGTTAATGATAATTTAATGGATTATAAGGATGTATTAGTTAATTATTATTTAAATATATGAATTAATATAAATAAATTAAAATTTTATCTATCCAGCTATGGTTAAAAAACTAATAAATAATATTAATTATAAAAATAATAATGAATAATTTAGATAAAATTCAATCCGATCCGATCCGATTCTATAATGGATCGATAGCGGATTAAGATTTGTCTAATTCGTTGTGAGCGGATTGGATTATGATTGATACCTAATCCGATCCGATCCGATTTGTGGTCACCCTATTTCAAATAAAAAATTAATGCATTGTTCTTATACTATTCTCAATTTATCCTTCTTGCATATTATAAAAATAAAATATAATAACATCACCAGGACCATAGATATGATAATTAATTAACTATCAATATAATAACAAAATATTAAAAAAATAATCCTTCTTAAAAAGTTAAGTTCCTTAAATTGGGACGGAGTAATATGCTCATTAAGTTGCAGGTGCTGAATAAGAGGTTTTTGGGATGAATTTTAAGTGTTCAACATTCACTAATAAGTGATTATCTTTGTTTAAAATTTTATCCTATTATAAGTGATAAAAATGATAATAGGACGGTAAGATGTATAAAATTTCATCTTCCTTCTTTATAAATTTTTATCGATAAAAAAAAATGAGCGCGGAAGAAAGGGGAAAGAAAAATGGACTTTTATAAAAGTTTTAAATTATTAATTATTAAATTATTGATGGTATTCAAATCACTATCTCTTATTTGGTAAGTGAATATCCACTTACCATTGGTAATTAAAAATTACATGTCAATTTATTATTGGTCTACATCATATCACATGTCAATTTATTATTGATCCACATTATTAATGAATATATTATAAATGAGGATCTAAATATTATCCATCGGATATAATATTAAAAAAAAAAAAAAAAACATAACATAACCTCTATTATCTAGAAATGTCTCATCCATCATTCTTCTTTCTCTTCCATTCAATTATTATTATTATTTTTTCATTCCTATCTAATGAAGCATACAAGTACCATAATTTAAAGGAAAATGATAAATACGGCAATGGTTGCATAAATTCTTTATAATATTTTAATTTAAAAATAAATAAAAAAGGAAAGAAAGAAGAAAATGCAAAGACGGAAATGAATTCAAATGAGCTGTCCACGTGGCAAAAGTTTTATCTGAGAGAGAGAGGGGGCGGGAGAGAGAGAGAGAGAGAGAGAGAGAGAGGTGGGGAGGGACTGAAGGGGGGTTAAGGCCTAAGAAGTGGACCAAATCAGAGAGGTTTATGGTTACCTGCAATGGCCTTGACATAAATACCCTTTTACTGGCTGGTCCGGTTCTGTGGCCACAACTATAAGATGATATAGGAGGGGGTTTAACTGTTCAAGCTCTGTGTTTTTTGGGTGGTTTTTAAACATAAATAAAAGGGGTTTTGTCCTTGTCCACCATTCTCCCATTCCATCCCATCCATCTCAGAGAGAGAAAACTCAGAAAGAAAGAAAGAAAATAGAGCAATTCAAATTGTTTTCGTGACGTAATTTCCAATTTTCTCAAACAACTCACCAGCGAATCTGAACCAAAATTTCATCCAATTTCAACTGGAGAGAGATTTTCTTAGAGGTAAGCCGATCGAATTGCTTATTTACGTAAATGATTTTTTTATTTAGTTAATCTGTTTGATCGTCTTCGTTAGGTTCTCGTTCCTGGCATTTGATTTCTTTAAATTTGGCTCGAATTAATTTTTTTGGATGTTTGATCTGATCTTATGCTGGAATTGAAGAAATCGGATTGGAAATGCTTGTTTTTTTAATAAAATTCCACTTGATGATATGGAGATCTGTTCAGATTTCACAAAATTGGAACTGATACGAAATTCTGATTCATTTCTAAATTCATTAGTGTTCAGTGCAGCCAAATAGTCGATTTGGAATTGGATCGGCAGTTCCAAGGTCCTAACCTGTGGCTTGCGTTTAGTTGTGATTCGAGTGTTTATTCTTTGCAAATTATAGATCATTTGTGGTTTTTGGAACTTAGTTCTTTATGAATTCATTGGTTTACACAGCGATGACTTTCGGCTTTATTTTGGAAACGCCGAATTCTGTGAAACGAATACTATTGTCTCAGTTCTTGATTGATTTCCTTGACGGTATTACGATCTCAATTTTTATATACGTAATGATCTGCTCATGGCAGAAAGTTATGAAGAACCCTGGCTTGTGTCTGCAGTTTTCTTGTCATTTCCTTCTACCTCATCATAATTTATGGTTGGGTTGCCCCTAGATCTTTGTGAAAAGAAAGGTGAACACTTGCGATTCTATAACCATTATGGCTCTGAGTTCTCTCTATCATGTAATTGCGAATATTAAAAATGAATCTTAGTTCTAGTTTATCTCCTTGGAAAACATAAGGTCGAAGGTTCAAGTCTTCGTCACAAATAAACATGAATCCCATAATCTTGAAACTTCATTATTTTCACATATCTATAATGCATAAATAAATACTTGTTAGATATAAATACATCGGTTCACGATATCAAATCTTGTTGAGATTAAGTCCAACGTATAGATCCTTTAGCTACGAACTAATCTGCAACTCTTATCAACAGGCAAAGGTGGAAACTGGTTTATCTCTCTTGACCTTTTGCACACATAAAACTTTTACGTGTTATATTATTAATTCCTTTTGCACACATAAAACTTTTACGTGTTATATTATTAATTGTACATCATTATTGATGGAGTATATGCACTTTTATAAAGGCAGAGAGGACCAATTTTCCTTTTAGTAATACAATTCTATTTTCCATTAAAGTAAAGAATAAGAAAGGAAAACGCTTCTCCAATAAATAATTACCAAAAAGGTAATTATAAGTTGACAAAATTATGTGTGTGTGACACTTACAAAAAAACAAAAACTCAGAGCAGCAAATGTTTCCATTTATGAGTTATAATGTCATGGTAATATTGTTTGTATTGACATCTTCAGCAAGTCAGTTAAGGTGACATTAGCACATGGTCTCTATGAGTATTTTTACTTTGAACCATTAATTGTCTTTGTTAAATTCATCTTTGCTCAAATTAGCCGTTCTCTCGTTTGTAAAGATCTTATCTGTGATAGATTCAGAAATTTAGTTTTGAACTTCATCAAATGTGGCAAGTTGTCGTAACCATAGCCTGTATAATATATATATATATATAGTTATTTATTTATGCTATGGTGGTTGAATAACTCGCTACCCATGCTACCCATGTTTCTTTAATCATCAGATCCCCTTGGTGTCTCAGTCTAATAATACGCATTTTGAAGTGATATATGAATCCTATGTTGATGCATCAGTTGTTTTTTTTTTTTTTTTTCTGGTGTAGACAGTGAAGATCTGCAAAGAGTGGTTCATTGCATTTGATGAGCTCTTATTGGCATGTATGCCTGAGATATGGTGTTCAAAAAGAAGTCAGGTTATGGTTTTAATGGCTACAGGGTCCCTGTTATACCAAGAGCTCCCAGATCTGTAAGAGTAAGTTTGATTGTAATTATGGGATTTTCTGGTGATCCCCATTATTTTTATGTTCTGAAGCACTAATATTTATTACTCCTGCTTCTTGGTTTTAGAGGAGGGGTTTGCATAAGAAGGCAGTGGAGGATAGCGAAATATGTGCATTTGAATTACTGGCAGCTGTAGCTGGCAAGTTGTTGCAGGAGAGTGATAGTTCTGCCTCTAGTTATGCAGAGGGAGGAAAAGATCATCTTGGCATTCATAAAGTTGTTGTCAAACATGAACTGGAGGGAGGTAAAGCATTGAGATCAGAGTGCATTGATCAGGGAAGCTGTTCAGAGGGTGTCTTTGCCTCTGGACTTGCAGTTCAAGAACGCAATTCAAAGTCTACACTTAAAGAATATCCACATGCTGGGAGTAATTCTGTTTTAGGACGTGCTTCTCTTATTACAAGTTCTGATTTCTCAAAAAAACTTGGTTGTGATGTGAAGTCCGAAATATGTGAAAGCAAGAATGCAGCCAGTATAGTAGAGGGAGGCTCCCCTCGTTATGGGGAATCATCTGATGGTAACATGGAGAATGGGATTGAGAGACAGCTAGAGGTTGATGGGAAACAGACTGGAGACTTCATTGTGGCTAATACCCGCCGTTCGAAGGATCCAATGGAAATATGTATGAATACTAATGCTTTGGTTAATTCAGATGGTAGTGTACAGTTGCCCTTATACAGGGATTCTCTTCCTAATGCTTCTTTTCCCAAGCATGGGAATAATGTAAAGGTAGGTATTAGAGATGATGACGAAAATTTAGTTGGGTGCAATCAACCTAGCACCAAGATTAGGGCCTTCAGGCCACAATCACGTATAGGTTACCGAAGAATAAGGAAATTGCTGACATCCAAATACTGGAAAGCAGCTCCAAAATTGAAAGATTATGAACTTCCTAATACTGGTAAGTGGAGCTTCTTGGTGTGATTATAGTAATGGTCTTTTAGCGTGTGTTTGTGTATGTATATATTGCAGTATATTTAAACTTTTTGTTACTAAGACGATGATTTTGACATTTTTAGATGGGGGAATGAAGCCCGTTTACCGTAACAGGAAATTCCTTTACTCCCGCAAAAGATGTCAACATGAAGCTCCTTATAAGAGGAGGAAATTGTGTAACTATAACTCTACAGTTGCATATGATAGGGCGGCAAGTAGTGAAAGCATTTCTAATTCACCTGAGAAGGGCATGAAGGCAGCCAAGAAAGGCTCATCTGGAATCTTACATAAAGGTCCTTTATTTCTTTCTATGTTTGGATTAAAGTGTATGGTGTTCTGCAGTTTTCCCAACTTTTCTTTTTTCTTTCTTTTGTGCAGCCAGTGGGGTGTCATCTTCAGTTTTAGGTCATCAAGCATGCTTTCAGTCCAGGGATTCTCATGGTACTAGTCTGTTTTTTTCGATGGAATGATGTACATCTACTCTTTTAGCCCATTCTGTTGTGGCTTCCAAGAGTTTCTTATATGCACTATGTTCCTTTATTCAGTGAAATTCAGCATTAAGTCCTTCAAGGTGCCAGACCTTTATATTGAGGTCCCAGAAACTGCAACTGTTGGTTCACTGAAGGTATGCAATCTTTCTTTGTTCTGTTTTTGGTAAATATGGCACATAGATGCATTAGCTCATGCATCACAACAGGCGTAAAGGTCCTGTATTCGAAGGGCTCTCCTATCAGTTGGCAATATGATTGGCATGTTAAGCTTTGCTGAAGTTCTTTTACTAGTTCTACTATTACAAAACTATCTTCTTCCTTTTTTTTTTTTTTTGTTTGTTTGTTCGTTATATTTTGATTCTCATTTTTACCCTCAACTTGAAGGACTTGACTAACATCCATATCCAACTGTATTGTTCATTATGTTTTACTGCCTTGTCAGCTTTCCAAATAAGGTTGAGATCCACAATTTGATGAGTTCCAGTATAATATGACCATTTGTACATTTGATTCTCATTCTTTTCTCAAAACATGCTATGATGGATTTGCACCATCCATATAATATGGTAAAGGGAATGTTGAAGATTTTAGGAACTGTTTGTTCTACTAATATGGTTTCATCTTTAATGTGAATCGTGATCTTTTTATAACACGGAAATGATGTTGTACAAAACTATATGTTAGTTGGTTCCTTTTTTGTTTGTCCTTCCCTCTTGGTGATGAGGAATATGCCCAAAGTTTACCATGTTGGTAAAGAATTTGATCTGTAATTTTGTTTTGGAGTGAAGAAGATTTTTTTGAGTCTCACTATTTATTGTGATGATATGTGATTTTTCCACAGAGGAAAGTTCTGGAGGCAGTGACTTCCATCCTTGGTGGCGGATTACATGTAGGTGTACTACTTCAAGGGAAGAATGTCAGAGATGACAACCGTACTCTACTACAGACTGGTATTTCTCACAATGACAACCTGGAAACCCTGGGTTTTACATTGGAGCCTAGTTCTGCTCAAACTTTACCTTTGTCTCCTAAAGATCCTCCTTTTTTGCTACCATGTGGAGGACATGAACACTTAACCAGGTGATGCATATGTGCCATAGATAAACTTTTTTCTGTAGTTGTAATTTGTATTTCTTCAGCATCTATGCATCATCAGGACAGAAAATATAATTGTTCCTTCTCAAATCTCTCTCTCTTGTTGCCTTAGTCACATTTCTCATCTTTCCCCCTTTTTTTTTTTTTAAATCTAATTAGTGTTCTCATTTATTATAGTTTATATATATATATATTGACATCTGAAGTTGAAAAATTCTATCTCAGGGAGTTTCTTTTGTTTTTCCTCATTAATACTGTCATTTGTTTTTTGTATTCATTGTATCATCCAAAGGCTTCCATTTTGTGTTTCTCATAAATAAATAATTGATGTAAGTTTAAGAAATATATTAGGTTACTTTCCATAAAGTAAAATGTTAAACTTTTAGTTATAGTGCTAAGAAAGTTATTTTTATTATTTTATTATTTTTTTCTCTATTCCTGTTGGGAGTTGCTGTTGTTTTCTGGAGAAACATAATGTCAGTTGTAACTTCTAATGTAATAGTGATTTTTATTATTTTATTATTTTTTCTCTATTCCTGTTGGGAGTTGCTGTTGTTTTCCGAAGAAACATAATGTCAGTTGTAACTTAATATAATGTTGCTTTATTTCCAGGTCCCCAGGCAGTCCCATTATGGATTCAGATTTCGCTAATGTGTCATTTGATCCACCTCTCGTGACTGATTTGAATAACCATGGTGAGAGTAAGCTTGAATTGGTTCCCTCTCCTGTTGTTGGATTAAAAGACGAAGTAGTGCCAGATTCCAGAGCCTTGGTCTCCATACCCGCTGCAATGAGTGCTGAGGCACTTGCTATGGTTCCCATGAACCAGAAAACTAGACGATCTGAACTTGGGCAGCGGAGGACTAGGAGACCCTTCTCTGTTTCAGAAGTAGAAGCACTGGTTGAAGCTGTTGAGAAACTTGGAACTGGAAGGTGTTCTAATAGACCATCACCTTTTTCTGATCATTATTCCTATTTTACTAATTCCCCTACCCCCAAACTCCAAGAGAAAAGTAGAACTCTCTTCTTTTCTTTTTAATTTTTAATTTTTGTTGTTCAGCAAAGTGAGTTTTCTATGGGTTTAAGAGGAAGGAATCCTGATTATTTTTTTGATTCTGCAGATGGCGCGATGTTAAACTGCGTGCTTTTGATAGTGCGGATCATCGAACTTATGTGGACTTGAAGGTAAGAAATCTATCTGCTATTTTTTTTGTCTTTGTACAACTGAGCAATAATTTAGATAATTAGAGGGGTGCATGTGGCATGCGTGTCAGTGGCAGTTATCTTTAGCAAGAACACACAGGGTAATTGTGAGATTGGGACTGGGAGGTAGAGGTTATTCTTGAGAATTGAAATAGTGACCGGGTATCATCAGCGCACATGAATATATGTGTGCTTCCCTGAAATATGAAGAAATACAGTATATACGATTCCTAAATGTCTACAGAGCTCTAAAATTGATGCTTACCACACCCTTTGTCCCTTCCTATATTTTATTTCCAGAGATGCAATTCATAAGGCAATTCTGTTTTTATAAAGGAAAAACAGAATTGAATTGTTTTGCCACGCTAGAGCATGCAGTGTTGATTGTTTCTGTTAAGCTGGCAGGTTCTTTTTCTTCTTCTTTTTTTGGCCATATTCATGTTTTATTTGTGAACGCTGCTATGTTACGAAGAACCTTACACATTGTTCAACTTCACTTTTGAGTATATTGAGATTTTTCTTTGGGAGGATGACCAATGGACCTGTCACCATACGATGATAAGATTCAACTTTCTTTGAATTTCACTGCTGAGAGAATATACTTTTTAGGTGCAAATTAATAAATTTGCTATCGTATTTCATAAGTGAATCTTGTGCGAATCTGAGTGCTAGCGGGAAAGAGTTACTTGATATTTATCTGAGCATGGTAATAATAGTTAGTCATCACATTTTGGTTTGTGGGTGTATGCAGGATAAATGGAAAACATTGGTTCACACGGCGAGTATCTCCCCCCAACAAAGAAGGGGAGAACCCGTGCCCCAGGAGCTATTGGACAGAGTCTTGTCTGCCCATTCTTACTGGTCTCAACATCAATCCAAGCAACACAACAAACATCAGGGTGAACCTCTTAAAATTTCTTCGGAGGCCCCGATGGGGGGAATAGATGGAGTTTGAAAGAGGTATCTAATTGTTATGAATATGATGTAAAAAAATTGTGACAGGAACAAAGAAAAAGGAAGTGTAAAGTCAATAATTTCCATGTAGTATTCTCACACTCGCTGGGAAAGAAATTTCTCACTCACAATGATTCATTGCCAGCTCTCTCCTTGTGGAGACACTGGCACTTGTAAATTGATTCGACGGAATAAGAGCATTCTAACAGAATCTGTAGGTGTTATGTTGATTTAATTGATTCCATTCTTTTACCGTTTGTTGAAACTTTGAGAATAGAAGAACCGAAAAAAGGAAAATGAAGAATTGAATGGTACTATGTACATTTATTGTATTTTGATTAAAGCATTTCTTTTGTTTGGAATTTTATATGTTGTTGGTGGTGTTGCTCTTGTTCTTGTTAGTGTTGTTGCTGCTGCTGTTGTTCTTGGTAATCATATTTTGTGAATTTACGTGGACGATTCATGCAAAAAGTGTACATTTCACATAGAAGGCAGTAAGAAACCTCTTAGCCCTCAAGTAAATATTAATTACTGCAGATGCCTTATGTGATGGTGCATAACAGAGTAATGAGGGTGCCATTTTATTAGAGTCTGCTAACTACTCAAACCATTTGAATCAAACTTTAGCGCCTTAAGGTCAACAATTTCGTTTTTATAACAAAAAATCATCTAGTAGTAACAGATTCAGGGCTTGCATGGGGTGGTAGTTATTGCATTTGAATCACATTAATTTGAGTGATGATATTCAGAAGGACTCATGCATTGGAGACGCCCAATTAGGTCACATAACGGATGGAGAGCCGTGGACCCTATTTCCGTTCAAACTTTTCGTCGGTAAAATCATTATCAGATGTTTGTAAAACACAAATCACCATTGTTTTTTTGTAAACAAATTTCAGATTTGAACATAATATAAAGAATGGTGGAGGGTGGCAGTGACTCAGTGAAGTCATTATAGTCTTTAATTAATCAGAAGTTGGCGGTGTGATCCGTTTGGCTGTCACCATGTTGCACCATGTGATGCGGTTGTTAACTCTGCTGTCTGATGCGTGAAAAAACAGCCACATGAATGATTTTGCTTTGGTTTCTGTGATTTTGCGTTTATAGCAGACAATGTCAAATGACCTCTTCATCCTCTTTACTTTATTTTATTGAAAATGTTTAGTAGTAGACACAGGACTGCACGTTAAAGACATAAAATCATGTCAACTATGATCATGAATACTTTAGCCTCTCCTTAGAAGATATATATATATATATAGCCTAACGTAAAAGAAATGTGTGCCAAGTTACCAACCAAGAGACCCGAGCACAATTGGGTCACCAACCTTTCCGTTCATCAGACACCTCCAAAAACCCTCATGACATAAGGGATGCCTTTCCCTTGATTTTAGTATGATTTGTGGTTATGGATGTCGTATTGAGTTCTGGGGGGAGCATCTCTTTTCCAAATTCGTCCCACAAATAAAAAATTGTTTTTAAATCCGCATCGACTCTGATATGAGTTAAAGGCGGCCAATATACCAAATTTTTTTTTTTTTTTTTAATTTATTTTTAAAGAAAAGAAAAAAGAAAAACAATTAAAACTTGAACAAATTCAAAGATAAATTTTGTATAGTTTAAGTATTGACAAATACTTAACAATCATAATACCACAAAATTGTTACAATTTAAAATTATAATAAAAGAATACTTATTATTAATCTTGGTGTGTTCGGAGCTTGGTGGCTTTCAAATTATCTTTCCAAATCCACCCTTAACCATATTAATTTGATTTAGCTAGGTTGATTGGGTCACCATACATTTTAAGTAAGAGTAAATATGTAACTTCACTCCCATCAATTTTGGAATTCAAAACGTATGTATATTTTGACCAAAGTTTAATATGAGAGTGAAAGTTGCAAACCTCTAGAAATTTTGAGAGTTATTTATCCTAGAAAATATGAAAAACAAAAAGTAATAGATTAGTTTGAGTGCTCAATGCATCTTACCAAGTCCTTTTAATAACTGAAATGACAAAATTATTTTTCAGAGAGTGGAGTGTTACTATACGTGTTCTAATTATCATGCCGTGTGAATGTGTAATTTATATTATTTTGGGTAAAGTATAAAATAAATTTCTGAGCTATGTTTAAATTTACAAATAACTCCTTTAAAATTTTTTTTGTGCATAAAACTCTTTAAATTATCATATTTAGTTGCAAAATGTCCCATTGTCTTGACTAGTTTTATTAAAAGACCATAGTATCATTTCTTATTAAATTACACTTTATTTATTTTTCTTGTTGAAATAAATTATGAAAAAAAAATCATACTAATTTGATAAAATATTCTCCATTAAATTTGCATAATTTTGCCTATAATTTTTAAATTAATTATTTAAACAAAAATCTTAAGTAGAAAATTTTGAAATAATTTAAGTAATTTATTAATTTTTCATGAATATATTGCATAAAAAAGAATATATTTTTTATTTTCGTAATTTATTCAATTTTCATGAATATTGTATGAAAAAGAATGTATTTTTTTAAGTGTGTATAATAAGTTAATCATTTTAGAAAATGGTAGCTACTAATCTATTTATTGTTTTTCATTTTTTGATAAATTGATACTAATTGTAAAATTAAGGTAAATGGTATAATTAATTTTTGAATAAGAGAAACTATAATAAAAAATAATTTAATAAGAAATGAAAATTGTGGGGGTTCTTGAATATGAGTCAATATTATAAATAACAGAGGGTGATATCTAAATACAAGATACAATGGAGCATCAACCAAAAAAATCTCTTTGGGTTTGTGCGCCTAGGCTCATATTTATAGTTACAGGCCTTTACATGAGTTCTGAAGTCTCTCGAGACTTTTCTCAGGGTAGCCATTATGACCCTACAGGCTTTAATAAGGATAATTTGGTGCTTTGGTTCGAGGATAGGTACCATTACATTAAATGCATATCTTTTTGAAGGCGGCGGTAGCTGATATTCATTAATGTAATTAGCAGCATTGCAGTCGAGGCACGTGGGCTCATCATTCTTTTGTTTGTCTAGGCATTTAGTATCCTTAGTGATACCGGACTCGAGCCAGGCCTAGTGACATGGGGTGTGCTATGTAGCCTTGCGGGCTAAATTCCTTACAACAATTTTGATAAGTAAAGGTAAAATAATCTCTTTGTAATTGATTTGTTCTTAATTATAATAAATTAATAGTTGGGGGGTTATTTACAAAAAAGAAAAAGAAAAAAAAAAGGAAAAAGAAAAAATGGTAATAGTTCACTCTGCCCTAGTATTTATTTTATTTTATTTTTTTAATTTTTAAAAAGGAAGTGAATTGGAATTGAAAAAACTTTGGTGAATATTATATCTTTAAAAACATTTCATTTTCCTAAAACCATTTTTTTTTTTTCAATTTTACTGTGATTGTTTTCTATATTGAGGAAAAAACAAAACCCTTTTCGAAGTCGAAATTGCAGTAGGGTTTTGGCAGCGGAGAAGAAGAGGAGGAGGGGATGAGTGGGTCAGGAATAGGATCACCCGATTTCTTCTACAGAGAAGCTCAGCGCCTGGGTTATGTTGCTCGCTCTGCCTTCAAGGTCTTCTCTTCTTCCCCATTTCCTTTCCACCTTCTATATATGTTTTCCCCTCATTTTTCTTCACAGCACACATACATACACACACATATGAGAGCGACATGTCTTTAAATATTCTTTTTGGCAAGTTCAGCTGCTACAGATGCAGAAGCAATACAAATTGATAACATCTGGTTCCTCCATTCTCGACCTTGGTTGTGCTCCTGGTGCCTGGCTTCAGGCATTTTTTCTCTCTCTAAAATTGTTTGATGTATTTTGAGGGATTTATCTTGTTTGGTTGGTTTCATGAGATTCATGGAAATGTTGTACAACTTCACTACAGGTAGCTTGTCAGAGCTTGGGTCCATTGAAAAATGGCGGGGTGGTTGTGGGCATTGATCAAAAGGTGATCTTTTTACTAATCTCAGTTATAGATTGCATACAAACATGTTAAAGTTTGATTATTTAGAACAATAATTCCTGGGTTGTTTTTGAAATTTTGTGTGGATGTGCAGAACAGAAGGTGAAGGTTCCTTCTATGCACTGTGATGCTAGGGTTAAAACTGTTTGTGCTGATGTTATGAACCTTCCCAAAGACCAAGTCAGGTTACTCTCTCCTCAGGTATGATATCAATACATATATGTTGAGCAAATTCATGCACTTGGTTTTCAATGTTCACTTGAGGGCCTATTTGGTTGTCCCCTTGAAATTTGGATTGAACTGTGCATTTTTTACATAGCACTTGAACGAAGAGATTTTTGTAATCTTGTAGAGGACTAACAAAGAAAATGGAGATTCAATCATTTCTCTGGGTAATCTGCACATTTTACGGTTTCTTGGAATGACAGACAAAGTTCGATATTTTTAATATATTATATTTATAAGTTTATTGCCAATTTCCTAAATTGCTCCATTCAAATGATAGATTTTTACTTTCAAATTCTATGCAAAAAGTGAACGACACATTCAAATTCAAGGGAATGCCCAAACAGCCCCTTAATTGTTGAATTTGCTATATCTTTTGAATTTTGATGATTATTTATTCTTTGTAAGAATTAATTTCCCAGTAATATGGTGTAGTGATCTCTTGGTACTTTTGAGTTTTGATCCACTACTTTACTTCTAGTACTATATCACATTTATGAATGATGAGTATGTATACTATTTTGAGTATCTGGGTAAACAATCATGCAAATCCAAACGGATTATTTGAAAAGGCATTATTGGCGCTTAATTGACAGTAATAAGATGTAGTGAACACACAAAGGTGCACCTATTATACCTTGGGTAGCATAATTCGCAATATCGAACCTTGTTTATCCTACTTTACATGTCATCTCAATAAAAATGATCCTTACGCATACAGGTACATATAGTGGTATTATTGAAAGGGCTTCTTCAAGTTTAACTTTTACCCCTTAGTGATGGGAAAACAAACAAATTTCGTAGCATACTTCCATCTGTGTCATATGCTCTAAAAACCCTGCTCGCTTCTTCGTTCTGATATATTGAATTTTTATCATTTACTTGATAGACCAATACATTAACTTCTTCTTCATCTCCTCCCTCCTCATAAGTTTGTTGCCTGCAGCTTACAGTTATGTTTTAGACTTATAAGAATTAGATTTAAATTTCATAGACCAGATTTAACTCTAGAACAAGTTGAACAACTGATTAGTTGCGACATCATTCTCAACTTCTGCTTTTGTTTACTGAGGTTTTAATTCTGGTCTTTTGAGGAATCTTATGATCTTCAACCTTGCCAGTCAACTTGACTCGGGATCATAAAATTACATTCTTTGTTTTCTGAATTGATACATCTAGATACACTTGGATGCAAAGGTAAAGAATCTCCAAATATTTTCAAACACACCGCTTCCCAATGCAACCCCATGCCACACACCTTGGAAAATCCTCTGATCACAAGAGTCATAACCATACAACTGATACAATTGTCCAAGACCTTTACAAAGGGACAGTTGCTTCAAGTTCGCGGCCTGAGTAAAACTCATATAATCCACAAGTCCACAAGTATGCTTCCTGTGGAATATTTATCTCATTGATTCTTGTTGGGTAATATGCTGAAGGTCAATCTTGACATTGTCCCTAAGGTTAATGAGTTTACTCAACCACATGTTCAGGAAGTTTGAAATCGTGAGGCCTCCCCACGCACATTTGTTTGCTTTAATATTTAAGAAGTTCAATGATGTCTAGAAACTCCATATGGTCACATATAAGTTCAGATAGTTGGATTGCAGGGGAAGGCTTCCTATCTTTTAAATGCTTGGCGCACTAGCATTTTTACATTAGAAGTTTCTGTATATTCCATCTTGATAAGGATTATAGAATTACACTAACCACAGAAGAAAATTCCTTGAGTAATGTTTTTATAACATTCAGTGTGGAAGGATTGAGTAGTTTATATGGATGAACCTGGCTAACGTTTTTGTTGGGGAGGTTTATATTTCCATAGTAATAAGAGAGTAAAGAAGCACTGTTTGTTATCTCTTTTGGTTCTTCAGTGAAGCAGCATCCATCAATTATTGTATTGACTCATTTCCCTAATAAAACTGGGTTGGTTCGGGGAGGTTTATATTTCCATAGAGTAATAAGAGAGTTAAGAAGCACAGTTCGTTAGCTCTTTTGGTTCTTCAATGAACAGCATCCATCAATTATTGTATTGACTCATTTCCCTAATAAAACTGGGTTGGTTCTAAATTCACTGAAATGGTTCCTCACTGAACACTTGGGAATTGTTAAAGCAGTGGAATCTCAGCTTTGAGGAAATGCTCATATGGATGACATTTGCTTTTGATAGACTTGATTTCTTGTAATAAGCTGGTTGGGAACTGAAATATTATTGTCATAAATTCTCGTCTTCGGAACTCAACTTTAGTTTATCCAAGGGAAAACTAGACTTGGCATCTCTCTCTCTCTCTCTATCAAGTAGAGATCTAATATGATCTAATATGGTCTTGTTTTACTTATTTGGTAGAAGAAGGGATTTTCTGTTATACTCTCGGATATGTGCCCCCTTGTTTCTGGAATCACAACTAAAGATGCAGCTTTATCAGCTGAGTTGGGGATGCGAGCACTTGACTTAGCTGTTGGAGGGGCTGCATTAGCTCAATCTAATGATAATATTCAATTGGAGGAGCAATCAGATAGCCCCAGTCCTGGACAGGATGATAATGGTATCCTGCGACCCGGTGGCCACCTTGTCATTAAGCTTTTAGAAAGTGAAGATGTGCAAGGTAGGTATTGTTCTACGGAGCAGATAATATTTCTTTCTTGCTGAGTTTCTATGTGCTTTATGACCCTTTTTGTTTTTTCTACAGAATTCAGCCGGATATGCAAACCACTTTTTAGAAAGGCATCGTGGTTGAGGCCTAAAGCTACGAGATCTTCCTCCAGAGAAATTTACTTGATCTGTCAAGGTTTGCGGCAGTGAGTTGTAAGAATGGACTTATGTTCTGATGGCCGGTGACTGGAATTTAGCAACCAGAGAACCACATTAAGAAGTAATATATTTTGTAACTTGAGTAAATTGATCCTGCTTGTTGGATGGGTGCAACGGGGATTTAATTCCCGCACTTCTGTTGCTCAAACCATGAACAAAAATATTTGCAAGAATCTTCCTTAATGGCTTGATTATGTTACCCAAGTATTTTAATTGATTTGCATACCTGACTAATTCTTCTTGTGTTCCAAAAGAAAATTACCATTGTTTTAGAAGGATTATATAATTTTTCCAGAACATAGTCATGCGCTCAAGCCATTTCCATAAAGACAGCAGATTGAAAAACATAGAACCAAATCTGCCAAGCAAGATCGAATTATGAAACCCCATTCCCCCTAAGGTTCAAGCTCCATATGATCAACGACTTTGCCCGAACTATGAACCCCATTCCCCCCCAAGGTTCAAGCTCCATATGATGAAAAACGACTCATAGCTTTCTGTCATGGTCAATGCTACCAACGCGATACAACAGAAAGGTCAAACCTCGCCAGTTTAAGGAGACCTTGTTCTCAAGAAGATTCTTGCTTGCATGTCAAGATGAAGCAAAGGGGCAAGTCCCTTTACATACACGTTTTACTTCAATAGAGAAGACTTCATGGCACAAACAAACACACAGAAAAATATAATTGCATTGATGTAAGGAGCTCTACAATTTTGAAGACTTGATCGCAACAAACAAAACATTATTTTTTTTTTTTTTAAAAATCAAATTTTAAGAGGGGGAGAAAAAGAAGACAACAGACTTTACAAGTTCTGTATATAAATAAAACCCTTTGAAAAATTGCTACTGCACAGAAATATCTGCGAGGAAAAAGAAGACAAAAAAGACTCTACAAGTTCTTAACTGTGGTGTGAATAAAAACCACTTTAATTATCTGCACCTCTCCATTCACTTTGAATTGATTCTGAAATATAGCATCTCCATTTACAAGATAATTTAGCTATGCACAGAACATGCTATCGGATGTGAGTTCTTCCTAAAGACCAAAGTCCCGAGTCCTTGACTGGTGCCTGAAATGAAAAGGAAGATCAAGGACAATTCTGTTGGGAGGGTGGTAGTCAAAAAAGATTCCAGTGGGACTTCAATTTGATCAAGATAACAATTTTCATCGAATATATGGCTTCACTTACCGGTGTTTTGATGGATGGAAAGACATTCCAAAACCGCAGTGTCTCATCCCCTGCCCCAGTTACTATTGTCTGCAGAAACAATTTCAGATGGACGATTAATTTCTTGTACACTGTAACTTTCATACCCATGGAAAAAGGAACTCTTCCAAGTTCCAACACATGCTTGGATAGAAGGATGCGAAGCCATACCTGACCATCAGGTGACATGGCAAGATAGAGTACCCGTAAACTATGGCCAGTGAGAGTTGCAACCTGTCAAAGATCAAACCAAAGGTAAACATACACAGTCGACCATATGACTAGAGAATTGCAAACATCTGAAGAACAAGATTTGGTACCTAAAATCCAAATGTGCACAAAAACATAAGCATAGCAAATAATTTATTAATGGGCTAAAACCTAGTACCTTTGCCATTGAAGGATATTTCCACACCATAATTTGATTCTGTGAATATCCATGAGTGCTAACAAGCTCATTCACATTCTTGCTCCATGCTAGATTGCACACCTGCGGGGTGAAAGAATGAGTTTGGTGATAATGTGGCATCTAATTAGCATAATCTTTGACAAGATTCATGCTTTTTCACTGTGCACTTAAACAAATGGAAACATGCTTTGGGAAAAAATTTGATAGAACTTATTTGCTACTAAAACCAGTTGGTAAATAAATGTATTATGAAAAGTTAAAATGAGAAACCTGGCTTCCAGTGTCGACACTGTTTATTTGATTTCCGTTTGTAGTATTCCAGAAGCGAATGCACCGATCAGCTGTTCCACCTCCAGATGCAAGAATGCCACTTTGATGGGGTGACCAAGCAATGGCCTTTACGGCAGCTGTATGCTCTGTCAGTTTTAAGATTGGTGTCTGAGCACTCTGATTCCAGACCAAAAGCTGTTCATCACAATATGACAAACAACTGAGTTAGTGTTCTTTTTTGTCTAACGGCAGATTTGGTATAGGCAGATTATTTAATGTTATTGATGAATATGTACCTGATTATCATTCCCACCCGATGCAAGTTCCCTGTCATCATGAGACCATTTCAGCCCACATACCTGAGGGATTTAAAGCAAGGTCAATGTCCGAAGAGTAATATAAGTTTATACATTTTGGATTTTACACCATACGAGATTCACTGTAGGATTTACCTCTGATTTGTGACCAACAAGCTTGCTAACGAAGTCATTTGAGACACGAAGATCGTGCTGAAGTATGTTGCGGTCTCTGCTTCCAGAAGATAATATGCGTGAACTCCATGCCAAGACCCCAGTTCTTGTTTGATGTCCGCCCATAGTTCGGATCCTTTTGCACTGAGTCCCATCCCAAACCTAACAGGACATAAAATGTTTGGTGAATTGAAGTTCATTGTAGCCACATTATGAAAGTAAACATTGGCAACAATGTAAACATGACTGTTTACTTCACATCAAAGGCAACAAACTACCTGAACTTCACCAAGATTTGTTCCAATTGATATGTAAGAGCCCTCCCTGGTCCATTGGACTGAGCACACACCATCACCAGGCCCCAAGTCACATAACTTTGTTACCTGAGAAAAAAAATGAAAATGTCAAACCACATTCTCCTTTTCTTTTTAAATTCATTTACTTTGGAAACACAGTTAAGAGAAAGTCAAAATTTGTGAATGTTCCAAATGTTGTGAGTCCAGTAATAAATATCATCTTACTTTGCTAGTTGATGCAGTCCATAAATAAACACATGTGCCCAATCCAACAGCTAGGACGTTCTGCGATGACCAGTCCACAAGGTTCAGGTAGAAATCATCTTGAAGTGATGGTGCATCTAGAACCTGCAATTATTTAACTTTTAATCAGAACATTTTTCCAATTTTAAGTTTGTAACTGTATATTTTTTATGACATCCATTTTTATTTTTTGTCAATTTATACTGAGAAATATTGTTCATTTGGGTCAAGTTTCTATGATTTTTCTTTTATTTTTTAGTTCAGTTACATGTATATAATTCCCTACAGAACTACCGCACATATATCAACAACAAAATCCAGCTTGATCATTTGGCCTAAGAAGCAAGACTCCATTTTGTTTCAGAGAAATGTAGGAAAAACAAGGAAATTGAAATCTTCACTCAATTGAACCTACTATAGTTTGATTAGAAAAATGAAATCTTCACTTAATTGAACCTACTATAGTTTTATATTACACACATTGAGACATACATTTTGATGGCTTACCACAACTACATTTCTCTTAGCTCAAGCGACTCTTTCATTCTTTAGAATCAAAAGCAACAGTACCACATAAATTTCAAGACACTGTTTTATTTTTCTCAAATTTCTCAGCAACCAAACACATCCAAATAAACAGTAAGAGCCAGAGCTTATGAGAACCTTATGGGGTGTCTTAGGCACCTTCCGCGGTGGCTTTGGCGGCGTTGAAATCTCGCAAGAGGACCCACTATCCTGCCCCAAGATCGACGGCGAGTACGGCGAATTCGGCCCCGAACTGTCCGTCTTGAACCGCAACATATTCTTGCTGGGAGTCATCGGCGAACCCACCTGACCTGCAGGAGAAAAACACCCAAAATCAGACCCGAAAAGCTCCGATTTCAACAACCTCGAATACGCGTCGTTCCCTCCTTCTTTCACCGGCGACCCCTTTTCGATGAGACCGAATGTGTGGAGCCGTGACGACGACCGGCACGGTATGAACCTGTCGCTGCAATTCCCCGACTTCGACGGCGATGACAGGTTCGATATCGTCCGAGGAGACATCGTCCTGGGTGATTGGAGATTCGATACGGTCCGAAACGAAGAACCCGAAGAGGGTTCGAGGCGTAGTGAGGATTGGGACATTCCAGCTGGGAGATTAATCCCGCTTTTTCGTCTCTGGTTCGAATCCATTTTCTGGGATTTCTTTGATTTTTCCAATTCTTCTGAGTTCTTAGATCTTAGAGGAGATGAATTGGTAATGGAGATAGAAAAGGCCTCTTTGTTCAAGCAAAGAGGGCTTTTCTAGGGTTTTTGGGAGGGACACTGTGTGCAGAGAATGGGGTCACCAACGGTCAGTTTGGTGTGGGCTTATGGAACGCTCTTCTTGTTTGGAAAGGAGAAAATGGGATTGGTTTTTGAACTTTTATTTAGGTCTAATCTTCCAACGGTCAATTTCGTAGATGAAGCTCACGTGAGCTCTCCAAAGTAGCCGTTGGCTTGTAGTCCTATGGTTTCGCCCACTGTACATTACTTTAGTAGGTATGCTAATTTTTGCACTTTTAAAACAAATGCACATATAATAATAATGTTAATTCATTAAATTTGTTTAATTAATTATGTTGTGTTGGTATTTTGAAGTTCAACTCAATTAAATTTGTTTAATTAATCGTGTAATGATTGTATCAGCTTAACCTAGTTAATTGTAACCTATTTTAACTTAATTACAATGGGCATTTCTATCATGTCAATATATATTCAATATGAATATGGTATTTGGCTTTTTTTAATTGTATTGTCCAAATTAATTTCATTTTGAATTAAATCATCTATTATCTCACATTTTCCATCATATTTACATTTTATAGTTAATAAAAGACTTATACGATTCACTTGTATTAAATAGGTTAAATAGATTATTGTCAATACATTACCCCGTTATTAGATGGACATAATGATAATTGTGTGTTACTTTTTTAATAAACCATTCATGTTCAAACTGACCTATTTAGTAAAATACTCATAGATCAAGATACGATTATGAATCGTCACACAACTGCTACCCCAAATGTATTATAGGCATATACATTATATATATAGAATATCTATACATAAGTTAGACATGTAAACAACATGAGTATAATTTCAACAACCCTCATAGCCTAATGCCGCCACATGGGAGTAGATATTGGTTGAGCTAGGTTTTGGGGTTCAATTGTCCACCCCGATCATAATATATATATATATATAAACTTTCTACAACTATCTGAAATTATATATAAAAACTTTCTACAACTATCTGAAATTATGTATTTTGATTCAATAAGCATGCCAATCGAAATACATAATCAAAATACATGAGTCTTTGTTGGTCGGCTATCTTTTGGGATTGATTATCGAGGCTGAGGCCAGGGTGTTTATGTTTGATTCTTAAATAGATTTAAGATTTAATTAAATTTTTTTTTTTCTCCCGGCAATATCAAAGAAAACAAAGAGAAAAGCAAATACAAATAAACAACCAACACCAGAGAGAAAAACCAAGAAGAAATGACCAAAGCATCACGCGCAGCGAGAGCCACAATCTGAGGAGGAATAGGATCCAACACCCAGTGTGTTCCCACACGGTCACGAGATAATTCAGCAAGGACATGGCCTTAAGATTTAATTAATTGCCCATGCTCATTTATATATAAGTATATTGAATTCATCTGTAATTTAATCATCACAATAGATAAGTATATTGAATCCATGTGCAACTAGGGATGACCAACGTAATAAAATTAATACTTGTAATTCCTAAATATTTAAACAGTTAATGAATCCCACATTGGTAAAATATAATATAACATATTTCTTAATAATAGACTTTTTTGCTACTTATGATTGCCGGGCTCAGTAGCATGAGCTTGTGACCAAGCGGGGCATTAAAGTAGTTGATTGTGGTGATTGGGCTCTAGTACAGGTGGGTGAACCATCGTCTAACTTTCATAGCTCAAGCCAGGTGCGCACCTGGTTCCCTCCGGGTTAGAGAGGGCCCAACCCACCATGGGTCGGCTAGCATGCAATAGATGAATTGGTGCACCATACCTGGCGTATAAACTTTAATTTCAATTAGTATTAAAACTTATATAAAAAATGTCATCACAATGAATCTATTTACGTAATAGATCCGTGTTTAATAGTATCTCTCTTATTTTCAAATAAAAGATAGATGGTTCTACACTTTTCAACAGCTTCGTTGGAGATTAGTGTTTTGAAAAAAAAAAAAAAAAATTATAAAAAGATATATATTGGGAGTTTTTATTTGCGCTCCAAAATAATACTGCTCCACTTCTATATATTCATACATGAAATGACAAAAATAACCTGAACTATCCAATTCTTATTTTGTGTTATCGATTCTCTCTGTATTCCAAATATATAAACAGATATATACTATATATAATTTTGGTACATTATATTGAACATATATTCGGTTTCAAATACAGAAAGGAAGATATCAATTAGAAGTCAACCTTCAATAATTCTAGTATACTTTGAAGCTTCAACCAAATATATATAAGAAGTATATAGGATATGTAATTGTGGTACATTATATAACATATATACAATCTCTAATACCAGAAGAAAGAGATCAATTAGAAGTCAAACTCAATAATTTTGAAAAACATTCAAGCTTCAAAGTTAAATTATACCGTCCACAATCAGTTTCGACTAAAGTTCACAAAAAGATTTTCTTAATTTTGCTGTTAATTCTTCTTTCTTTTTTCAAATCCAATTGTGCTTTTGTTCATATGGGTTCAATAAGCACACAACCATTGTTGCAAATTGCAATCGAAGAATCCACTCTAGCTCTCTACAACAGCTCGACGCTAATTACATTAAATTATAATAATAAAATAAAAAATTAAGTAGGTTCGACTTTTATTCTCCTAGTTGAAAACTTAATTCTAACATTTTTATAAGTATTCGCCTAAATCGAACTTTATATGTTTGATTTTCGTTTTTTTTTTTCTTATTTATTTACGTATTATTGTAAAAAAGGAATGAGAAGACTAATGAATTCGAAGTTCACAAAAAAAAAGAAGAGCAATCTGGAGAGTTTTTTTAACAAGTTTTGGAGTTAATGCTAATAATATACATGGTTTTTGATGGTTCTATTGGAGTAAAAAAGAAAGCATTTATAGAGAAAGCAAAAGAGTTAGAAAATATAAGGAAGAGAAGATGTTGTTGGAGGTAATAAGGTTATTCTTGTCATTTTATCTATAAATATATAGGAGTAGAGTGCGTGATGATGATTTTGGAGTGCCAATAACATTTCCCTATATATTTACATTGGTCCAGCTTAATGCTGGCCTGGCCCAAATGGTTCCAAAAACACATGCAATTTTCTCTCTCTCATTCAGAAGCCCAGTCCATTCCCAGTGGATTCAAAAGACCGTTAGACCCTTCTTTTTTCATAGATGTTTGTAAGACATGTTTTTTTCAGAGTCTACAAATTAAAAATATAGTATATATCGCAATAATATTATGGAGAGTACTACCCAATAATAAATACTCTGTATATATATTAAGAGTTTTGATTTGACAAAAAAATAATAATAAAAAAAATTGACACGGTTGAGTATTCTCCCTCCAACGTTTGGTGTGATGACTACAACCATGTGATGACAGTGATCATCCCCTCATCTCATAAAGCTTGCTTATAAACATTCAAACTCAGCAATGAATGCCTGAACGTGGTGACCGTTTCAAACCGACTCTTCTCCATCTCAGTTGATAGTGAGTGAGAATTAACGTCATATATATATATATATATGATATACTCTCTAACTGCCCCAAACAAACGGGTCAACAGGAGTGATCAAAAATATATAGTAGTAGCAAAAACTATGCATGAGCTTTGCTTACCCCCCCTGAACATGATTAATTTATGTACTGATACATATAATGTGATGTACTCTCTCCGTCCAAAAAGAAGTGTTTTTTTTTTTGTGAACGGTGAGTCACGGTTCACCAAGAGAGATACTCTTTTTAGGACAAAGAGCATTATTTGGCATAAACACGAGTATCTAAAATATTCTGGATCATTCATTGTTACAGCTTGATGATGTATGTGTATATATATATATTGGCAGATCCAAAGCCATCATAACAACAATATACAACACTATAATTTAAAAATGGTCCTCTTTCTGGTAATGAAAAAGTAATGATATTATGAAAACCCGAGAGATTGAGAGATTTCCCATGAGAGGAATAATGGTAAACATTAAATTTACGTCAGTTGACAGTTTGAAATTCCATCAATTAATTGTTCAAACATATCTTCTTCTTCTTTTTTAATTCTCATGTATGTGTTTATATATATTTTTATTACTACTTGATATTTTGATAAAAGATTCACAACGCTCGATTTTGTATTGTCCAAGATCAGATTGAAACGAAGTCGATCAAGAAAGGAAAAAAAATTCGGGGTCTGAATACATAAATTAAAAAGTAGTGTTAGAACATATGTTTCATATAATGATTGGTCTAAGACGTGTCTTTAATCAGGGTGATGGTGAATTTTGAATTCAGAGATTTAATTAGGGTGACTAGTTTACCCTGCCTGCACCCGTCCTCCACCCCGTCCACCGGACGACATCATTTGAGCTCTTACAGGAGCTCCTTCGGCGATCACCGGGTGAAGGCAATCCATTGATAACAGAGCAATTGTTATCAATGGCTATGTGACTCACTCTATTGTATGTTTGGTCTGTTGTTATCAATGGATGTTTGAGGAAGCTTTGTTTGTTTGGTTAGTATCTGCTGCCACTGTTTGGCTGTGCATTTGCCAGCTGTTTGGCTCTAACTGCCCTCTTTGTAATTATCTTTATACTCTATAAGGCAAATTTCACAAAACTCCAAATAATATCACTTTTTTGATCAAATATCTCCAACTTATTTTAGAAAATTCCCAACAGTATGAAATTTGATCACATTACCTCAATTCTGTGATTAAATGACGAAATTAACCTTCTCATATACCAATTTATTTTAAAAAGCAAAAACGGGTATTTTGCCAATTACAGAAATAGCCTTAGTGTAATCAAAGCACAAAAACGATGGCGTTTTATTCATCATCACACTTTTCTCTGCACCTCTGCCCCACACGGTGTCGTCTGCGACATCTTCGTCGACGAAGCCAATAACAACCACAGAAACGGTTCACATCACTGAACTCAATTTCAGGTCTTCTCTGGAAGAGCTCGTGTTCATAGAAAACCCATCTCTGGTTGGGTCTCTTGGTGGCGAACTTGGTAACTTGACGAGTCTAAGGAGGTTAGTTTTGACAAGAACGAATGTTTCTGGGAGTATATCAGATGGGTTTGGCAAT